TGTGAGCATTGACATTGTTTATTCATTCATTTAATATATCTCTCGAGCATCTTTTGTAGCAGACACTAGCAATTGGAGTGCTCGAGAGCTTACATCTTAGTGGAGAGGCCAATGATAACCAATCATATAAATGAACAAGGGAAATAACTGATAGTGATAACTGCACAGCAAAGAACTAAATAAGGAGAAGTGATAGTGGATAGGGATCAAGGGAGTTACTTTATTTTTATATTTTTTATTTAAATATTTGTTTATTTTTAAGAGAGTGCAAGCAGAGAGAGGAGGACAGAGGATCCAAAGCAGGCTCTGTGCTGACAAATGTGGGTCTCCAACTCACAAGAGAACACGACTTGAGCTGAAGTCAGACACAACCGACTGAGCCACCCAGGTGCCGTGAGGGAGTTCCTTTAGACTAGATGGTCATCATAGTCCTATCTGAGGAAATAATTTTCAAGCTGAGATCTGAATGACAAAAAGCAACTAGCTATGTGAAAAAAGAACAGAGGGAAAAGCATTCCATAGAGAGGAAGTAACTCAGGCAAAGGCCTAAAGGAGAAACCAGCTTAATGTATCCACAGAATAGAAAGAAGGCCTACCCAGCTGGCACACAGTGAATGAATAGAAGAGTAGTTGGAGGTAAGTTCTGAAAGCCAGACAGGTATTATGAAAATACATAGGGGAGTTCTATTGTTAGTTTCCTGAGGAACCTCCACACTGTTTTCCAGAGGGGCTGTACCAGTTTACATTCCCACCAACAGTGGTGGGGGAAAGGGAGAGAGGCAAACCATGAGAGACTCTTGAATGCTGACAAAAACTGAGGACTGATGGATGTGGGGGGGGGGGGGGGTGGGCATGGAGGAGGACACTTGTGGGGATGAGCACTGAGTGTTATGTGGAAACTAATTTGACAATAAACTATTTGTAAAAAAAAAAAAGAAAATACATAGGACATGGACATGCAGGTACTTTGGAAACAGGTTCAACTAAAACCAAGAAACTTATTATGCTTTAGGGTGACCTAGTTATTACTCTAGGCATGCTCCTTCAACAGATGTTACCGAGTACCTATTGTATGCTAGCAGCTGTGCTAGACAAATCAGCTACATGTGTATTGAGAACCAAGATGGAGACTAAGTTGTAGTTGGAGCTACAGCAAAGGGGCCTTGATAGGGAAGTTGATCAATTTAAATTTTTTTTTAATGTTTTATTTATTTTTAGGAGAGAGAGAGAGAGTGACGGTGTGAGCAGGGGAGGGTCAGAGAGAGAGGGAGTCACAGACTCTGAAACAGGCTCCAGGCTCTGAGCTGGCAGTCAGCACAGAGCCCGACGCGGAGCTCGAACCCACGAACTGCGAGATCATGACCTAAGCGAAAGTCGGATGCTTAACCAACTAAGCCACCCAGGCGCCCCGGGAAGGTGATCAGTTTAAAAGGGATCCATGAATCAGTGGGTAGATCTTGAACATTTGTATTGGGAAGTTTGCATTTAAAATAGTAAGAGAAATGCACCATAGATCTTATACAATGATATTCGTGGTAAAGATTATTGTAGAAGTGGTGAATAGGATAAAGTGGAAGCCAGAGAAATTAGAAGCAGAGAGACCAGCTGGAGGAGTGTTGAAATAACACAGGTGTGAAGCACCAGACAAGATTATTGGCAGTATAAGCAAGTGTTGGGCAAGGGCCCAGGAGTTCAACGGGTATTCTCTCTCTCAACTTATTAAGTGATATACAATTTATGTCTCCTGTTTTATTACCATCCTCCTGTGTATTTGGTAGAACTGAGTCAACATTCATCATCTTTTAACCAGTTCTTTATGTATCAGTCTTTTCTTTTAGTGCTAAGTACACTCTAAATAGCATTTTTTCATAAAATTTACTGCACTGCACAAAAATATGTTTCAAAAAGTAATAGACAGTGATTAGAAATATCGAGTATTTGTTCAAGTTCATTTCAGCCTCTTTGTCTGCAGATTATAGTATTTGTAGTCTTTCATGAGAGACCCCAAGCTAAAACCACTCAGTGAAGCCATACTTGAATTCTGAACCAAAGAAATTATGAAATATAATACATGTTTGTTGTTGTTTAAGCCACTAAGTTTGGGATAGTTACTTCTACAACAATAAATAACTAATCCATGCCATTTGCCCTCAAGCTGCAACCTTCTTTCACTGTGGACAAGGTGTGCTTCCATGCCCTTTAACCCTTTGCCCAGCCATTTGACTTGCTTTGGCCAATAGGAGGCCCTCTTGGATCTCTGCCATCACTATGAGAAAAATATGTTCTGGATAGACTGCTGGTCCAAGAAGAATGAGAAACACTTGGAACAGAGCCTCTCCAGCCAACCTAGAAATGTGCAGTGAAAAGCAGAGCCACCAGTCTAGATTAGATGAATCCTGGCTGATCCACAGACACATACACAAATGATTACTGTTTGAAGCCACTGAGTTGGGGGTAGCGTTACCAGTAACAAATTGGGAGTCAGAAGGAGTCAGGGAATCTATGGGGTCGTAGAGATCTAGGCCAACCCTATCATTAGGGTTCTTATTAGAGCAGTTGACTTGAGACTTTTAGCCTGAGGACCAAGCCCTGCCTTCCAGGGCTAGGAACTGCTAAGTAACCGCAATGTCAACCCTCCCTGGGCTGGAGAGAGCAGAAGTTTGGTACCTGGAACTTCAGGAAAGCCCTATCAGGGCTGTTTGTGAAGCATCTACAGTGTTTTTTTAGTGCTTTTTTAAAAGTTTTTATCGTTTATCAATCCTTATGAGAAATCTGCACAATCACTGCAGATAAAGTCACTGCAGAATCTCTTCCTTCTTTTTGCCAACACTTCTTTGGCCTTCGCAGCCCCCCTGACTTTCTTCAGTCTGTTCTTGTGTTCCTCTCACTGTTTGCACTAAGTCTTTTTTCTTTTTTTCTTTTTCTTTATTCCCATACAGACCACATCTTACTGGTGTGTATTTGGGTTCATGAATTGTAAATCATGTTGATTTACATAAATCAAACCAGTTGTCTTACCGCCACCAAAATGAGCTTTGAATCCAAATACAGAGGTGGCATCCAGTGTGCTCGTCCACATTTTAGCAAGTTTCTCCTAAATTTCTTAGTTACCATTGCCTTCCTAGGATGAAGGACATCAGGGACCTTTTGTTTCCACTGAAGTAGTTGGTTGGTCATAAACTTCTTCGTTGTGATAGTTACCGTCCTGAAGGCATTCATCTTCAGACAGCCTGAGAGGAATACAGGGGTTTTTATGGAATCATCATTGTGCACTGTACAAACAGAAATATGGAATAATGTGGAAAATCCAGGGTTTTGTAATCTGTTCCCATAAAAATGGATGGAGGTGGGCAAGGGAGGTTAACTAGAGAGAGAGAAAATCAGTGAGTTTGAGTTCAAAGAAGCTAATTAAGCTTTTCAAGTGGAAGGTAATTCATATTGGAAGTTTTCTTTTGTAGATTAGAAATAGGAAAACTTTATTTTCCTTTCTGTTGAGTTAAAACTATCCTGTGTGCGTGTGTGTGTGTGTGTGTGTGTGTGTGTGAGTGAGTGAGTGTGTAAAAACTATCTTTAAAAGAAAACATGTATTTTAAGAGATTTAAAAGTGAAATGGTGAGTGCTGTATAAAAGCATTAAGATACTCTGGGGTATATTTCATTGCTACATTTACTCACAACCTGTCCCTCACATGTACCCAAGGCATGTATTAACGAGCTAATAAAATATGCCATGTCATGTTTTATTGTTTGCTAGGCATCTGTTCAAGCTTATATCACTCACATATCTAAGACTTTGAAGATGCTAGTGGAGGTGATAATAAATATCTATAATTTTGCTAACATCCTTTTTTCATAAAGTAGACACAGTCTTAAATCATTCATTGCAAATAAAAATGTTGAATTTATTCAGAATTAAAGGCTATTGAGAGTGGTTTAAATTTTTTTTATTATGAAATGTATCAGTCATACAAGAGTATACATGATAGACATACATAAAGAATAATAATAAAAGTACCCATCATCACAGTAGTACTGTATATATATTTTAATCCACAAAATGTTTTTATTTAAAGGAAATAGCAGCAAATGTATTGTGAAGTAAATATATTAGAATCAAATGTAGGAGATGGGGTGCCTGGGTGGCTCAGTCGGCTAAGCATCCAACTTCAGCTCAGGTCATGATCTCATGATGCATGAGTTCAAGCTCCGCATTGGGCTCTGTGCTGACAGCTCAGAGCCTGGAGCCTGCTTCAGATTCTGTATCTTCCTCTCTTTCTACCTCTCCCCACTCACACTCCATCTCTCCCTCTCCTAAAAATAAATAAGCATTTTTAAAAAATCAAATGTAAGAGTATTAGGTTAGATATATAGAGGTATAAGAAGTGAAGTTTAATACAGATACAGAGAAGGCAGAAAAGCTATTGGTGTCTGAGAAAACTTAGTACATATGATGGTCCTTTCAATTAAATAGACCCTCAAGTTTAAAGTGGGTCTGGTTGGTGAACAATTTCATTTGTTCAGTGTTTAAATTGAATTTGTACACCATTTAGAGGTACTCCAGGTCACTCACTGATAGCTATCATAGCAAAGCATCTTAAAAGGCAGTTTATTTGCCTGAGAGATAAAACATGACTATTAAGAATGTAAATTGTTTAATAGAATACCATTCTGATCACAAGATAAGAATAGACCTTTCAGAAAATGAAGCCCAAGCCTTCAATTATCATCTGCCTATATGCCAGTGAGGTTCAATTTATATCTCCATCCCAGACCACTCCTGAGCTCTAAAGCTAAATATTTTCCTGCTTATTCAGTATTTCTTCTTGGAGCTCTCACAGGCATGAGAGACTCTGTACATATAAAACCAAATATATGATCTTCCATTTCCCTCCAAACCCACTCCAAACCACTTTTCCTCCAAACCACTGTTTATCCCGATTCTCAGGGTCAGAAACATAGGAGTCATTCTTAATACTTTCGCCACTCACAATGCTTACTTACCCCCATGGCTGCTCTACTCCATCTTCTGTGTTGTCACCTTAGCCAGAAGCATAACTGAAAGGAAGCAAAGAAAGCAGTTGCTCTCCTGAGCACTCTTCAAAAGTAGTGTGTGGTAGTTTCAAAAGAAAAAAGGCCACAATTTTTTTTTACTTTCATCCCATCATCTCCCATGGAGTAGTGAAGATCTGTGTCCCTTTCCCTTGAATCTCAGTGGGCTTGTGAGAGCCTGAACCAATAAAGTACTGTAGAAATAACACTACATGACTTCTCGGGTTCTTAGAATGTTTGCTGTCTTGAAACACTCCGCCTGGTCCCTCTCTGAGCTCAACCTGCTCCACCACCCTGCTGTCAGAAGTCACGTGAGTAGACCACGGGGAGGCACTCCAGTCCTCAGTCCCAGAAGAGCCTCACTGAGGTGTGTATGGGTAAATAAGCTATCTTATTAGAAGCGGATCTCTGGTGTTTTGGCTGTTCCAGCCGCTAGCCAGTCAGATCATCCCCAGCTTTTCAACTTTTCCTGAGTGAGGCGCCAGGAATCTTGTAGCCGAGACCACCCTCTCTCTTTCTGAATTCCTGACTCACAGAATCTTTGGGCATAATAAAATACCTGTGGTGTTTATGCCACTAAGGTTTTGGGTAGATTGTTATGCAGAAGTAGAAAATCAGAATATAGATCTTTTCAACATTTTTTAAGGCAGTATGTTAGCATGATGGTTGTTAAGACTGCTGAAAAGATACAGGGAGGGACAGTGTAACATTTATTTTTTTTGAAGACAGAGACAGAGCATGAGTGGGGGGAGGGGCAGAGAGAATCTGAAGCAGGCTCCAGGCTCCGACCTGTCAGCCCAGAGCCCAATGTGGGGCTCAAACCCACGAACTATGAGATCATGACCTGAGCTGAAGTCGGATGCTTACCCAACTGAGCCACTCTGACGCCCAAGGGACAGAGTAAATATGCTTTCAAAACATCAGTGATTGAATCCTAAAATTTACCCAGAAGGTGGTTATGTTAGCTTGACCTGCTGTAATAAAATAGCATAGACTGGATGGCTTAAATACCAAAATTTATTTTTGCAGAGTTCTGGAGGCTAGAAGTTTGAGGTGAAGTTTCTGGCCAATTTGGTTTCTCATGAGAGCTCTTTTCCTAAGAAGCAGGTGGCCACCTTCTCTCTGTATCCCCACATGGGGGAGAGAGAGCCAGGCAAGGTCTCTGGTATCTTTTAAGAGCACTAAGCATCAGATCAGGGCCCGCTCCTTATGACTTCATTTAGCCTTAATTACTTCTTTAAATATAGCCACAGTGGCGGTTAAGGGTTCAGCACATGAAATTTTGCAGGGATCCATCCGATCCATAATAGTAGTCAGGAGCAGGACCTTGTTTATGTCCTCACGCCCCACCATGCATGGCACAGGCTACAGCCTGGCTTTACCCTACACATTCACCCTTGTGTTAGAACCTGGCTGCTCCCTGTGTGTGACCCATGATGCCATCATCTCATATCTGAGCTACTCTGGTAACTTCTCCTTCATCTCCCTGTATACAGTCCCCTTCATCTTCTAGTCTTTTCTCCACCCTACCAGGGATCTCAGAATGCTAATCTGTTGATTCTGTGCCTGTGCTCTGTGTCACTGGAGGAAGTACATCCCATCATTCTTGGGATAAAGACCAAAATCCTAAAAGTGACCCTGCGTAGTCTGACCCCAGTCTATTCCTCCAGCCAGACCTTGTACCACTTGTTCTCACCCTCACTGTCTGCATATCAGCCCTGATAGCCCTCTCTGACTTTTCAGACATGCCATTCTCCTTTGTGTGTACGATCCTTAGAGCCTAGAGCATGAATCTTCATCTTCTTTGCTATTTACCCCTTATTCATCCTTCCTTTATCATCTTGAGTATCACTTCTTCAGGGAAACCATCCCCCAAAGCCCCAGTTTTTTGATTACATGCTTTCATAGAAGTATGTTCATCTCCCCCATTGGAAGTATCTAAGTTTATAGTTAAGTATTTGTCTGGTTATCTGATATATGGTTTCCTCACTAGATTATAATAAGTACAAGGACTCTGGTTTCGCTCACTGGCATGATCACCTGGAACAATGTTTTGTACCAAAAAGACACTCAGTAAATCTTTAACAAATGAATAAATGAATAAATACAAATAGTCAATTTCATTGACTGTCTATTTGTACAGACTTCCCACTTCTTACCCATTACATTGGTAAGTAAAACAATAATTCTACTGAATGGCAAGGCAGTCTCAAACTTGGCTGGTCCTTGTGCACATCAGAAGAACCATTCTAAGGCACCTGGTGGGATCTGTCAGTACAGCATGTGAATCTTGATCTCTGGGTCAAGAGTTTGAGCTCCATGTTGGGTGTAGAGCTTCCTTTAAAAAATAGGGAGGGGGGTGCCTGAGTGGCTCAGTCGGTAGAGCGTCCGACTTCAGCTCAGGTCATGATCTCACAGTTCATGGGTTTGAGCCCTGCGTCAGGCTCTGTGCCGAATGCTTGCCTTCGGATTCTGTATCTCCCTCTCTCTCTTTCTCTGCCCCTCCCCTGCTCGCGTTCTGTCTCTCTCTCTCAAAAATAAACATTTTTTAAAAATGTTTAAGTGCTTTACATTTTAAAAGGAGAAGAACCTTTCTTTAAAACAACTTGGCAGAAAGTTTACAGAGGCTTTAAAATATTCCAACCCACAAATTTTAATCAGACTCCATCTCTAGTAGCCAGGCTCCAAGATAGGTTCTAGTGAGCCCACCTCCTGATATCCTGCATAATTCCTTTCTATACTGTCCTAGGTTGGTCTGTGTGATAAACAGCATTCAGTTGATATGATGGCATGTCACTTTGAAGATCAGGAAAGATTGTGAAGCTTTCTCTGGAATGTGTTCTCACTCTCTCCCACTCTTTTGTATTACTTAGTTTGGGGGAAGCCAGTGGCCATGTCATGTGAGCAGCCCTATGGAGTGGCTGATGTGGCAAGGAACTAACAACTACTACCAAAAGCCACCTGAGTAAGTTTAGGAGTGGAGTCTCTAGCTCCTCTATATTGCTCCAGCCGCAGCTATCAGCTTGAGTATACCTCATGAAAAGCCCTGAGCCAGAACCAGCCAGCTAAGCTATTCCTGGAACTCCTGACCCTCAGAAACTATAAGATAATAAATGTCTGCTGTTTTAAGATGCTATGTTTTGGGATAATTTGTTATGTAGCAATAAATAACTAATACACCATCCTAAGCAGATTTCACCCTAAAATGTTTCAGTAGTTTGTTAACGTTGGCATGTGTAGACTTTGTATAGCGTGAACATTTTTCATTAAGGGACGAATTCGTTGGAATGCTTTCAGCTGCAAAAAATGGAAAATCCAATTAAATAGTTACAAAAGTAAGGTAGTCGATTTTACTCTAACCAAACGTGCCGATGTAGTCGGGCATCAGGCAGTTAACATGACAACTCCATCATATCAAGGTTTACTGTCTCTGCTCTGCCTCTTAGTGTCCAATTTATTATCAGGCTGGTGGCAATTTGGGTGTATTTCTCCAAGACAGAGCGGCCTCCAGGGGAAGCAGTTGCAAGTTCCACCTGAGTCTCTCTCTAGGAGCCTCTTCATAGACTCCCTCACTGCTGTATCTCATTACCTAGAATTACCCCTTCCTAAATGAATCATTGGCAAGTGTTCCATGAAACGGAGATATATGCAAAACCACCTCAGAAGGTGAGAGGAGCTATTAGATCAAAGAAAAGACAGACACAGTCTGTCACAGTTTGACGAGAAATGGCTTATTAAAGGGACTTATGGACAGAAGCATGTCTTGGGCAGCAGCAAAATACAACCCCACCTCCCTTGAGACCTGCTTTTATAGCCTAGGGGCCGGGAGTACATACTAGGGAACCACCAAGAGGAGAATGTTTAAGGACAGGTGTATGTCAGAGTGCCTGGGTGGCTTGGTTAAGCATCTGACTTCAGCTCAGGTCATGATCTCGCAATTCATGAGTTTGAGCCCTGCATCAGGCTCTGTGGTGACAGTGCAGAGCCTGGAGCCTGCACTGGATTCTGTGTCTCCTTCTCTATCTGATCCTTTTCTGCTCCACTCTGTCTCTCTCAAAAAAAAAAAAAAAAAGAATAGGTATGTGTCATAATCATATCTCCAGGGAAGATCAAGGGTGTTATGCCCTGAGGGTGTACTTAAGAGTGTGGTTAAAGGAAAAAAAAAAAAAGGAAAGAATGTGGGAGGAGAAGGGATTAGAAGGGGTTATGCTCAAGGAAGTTCAGGTCCTAGAACCATCATCATGGCCACTTTGTACAAAAGGGCATTAGTCTGTTCACATACCAGAGCAGTGAGTACCCAAACAAAATTAGGCCTTGTTAGTAAGGAGGGAGAGGGGAGTGGATCCTAGCTAAGCAGCATCTTGTCCACAGTAGGGAGCTATCTTGTTTCACTTTTTGAACAGCTCATCTTGTTCTTGCGTCTCAGCCTCCATTAGCTACCACTTTAGCTCATCTGCTCACCTACCTATAGCACTTCACCCCTTACTGGATCTTCAGTTATTTCCCCTCCTGTCTAAACTGCCTCTGGAGCAACCCATCTAAATTGCACATGTAATCATATCTTTTCCTGCTAAAAACAGTTTCCTAGCACCTAAATGATAAGATCCAAACCTCTAGGCGTCTTGCCTTCCTGACTAGTCTCATCCTTCACCTACCTCTCCCACCATATGCTTCAACAATATGGAACTAATATTGATGCCCCAAAGTTATCCTCTGTGTCATCTTCCTGACTAATTTCAGTTTATTATTCAGACCCGAACTCAACTCTAACTGTCCTCTCACCGAAGCCGTCTTTAATCTTTCTTAATAGAGGTGTTCACTCCCTTCTCTATACTATAAGCATAGGTCCTTTTGCACATACCAAACTACTTTCTGTTGACTGTGTTTCTCCCCTGCTGAACTTCTAATGGTCAAGAAGTAATGCCTAACTAATTTTCAAATCCACAGTGCTTGGCATGTAGTAGCACACAGAAATATCAGTTAACTGAATCTACTGCACATTTGCA